GTTCGGCTGACAGGGAAAGCCGTCGTAGGAAGGCGGGGAGGGCGGCTGGGGAAGCAGAAGGACGGGGGAGGTAATGGTAAACAGTCTGGAAGCGAGGGGAGGCTGGCTGCAAGCTCTCGGCAAGGTGGCCGCAGGGTGAAGGGGCAGCCCTCGTCCTCCGCCATCAAGGCCCGGCCTTCGGCAAGTGCCAGCGCTGGGCTGCGGCTTAATTTAGAGCTAACTGCGAACACCGGCTCCAAATTCTTCGTTTAAAAGGCACAGAATGACAAACCAGAGAGCTAACGCCAGTTTCTTTAAACTCGGCTGGCAGAGGCAGAAGGTTTACGAGGGAAAATAAGTACAAAAATGACATTTTTATAGCATTCTCCAGCCATGTACTGCAGTGAGTGTTGCCAATGTGAAAGAGGCTTTTGGAAAACCCAGGCAAGGAGCCTGCTGTTCGTTATTACAAACCGTAAATTCGAGGTACAGAGATTAAAACGAACACACAGTTGTCAAAATTAGAATGTACAATCCAGGTGTTGCCTCCTGGGAGCCTTTCCCGAGTGTAGGATCGCTTAATTATTTTTAAAGTAGCATGTACAGGTATCAAAGTCAACAAGGTGAAGAGAAAAGTACATGGAAATAACAGTTTGTTTGCAAAGAAACAAACTTACCTCAGCACTTAGGCCATCAGGGAACACGGCTGTGACCTGGAGCAAGGTTTCAAGGCAGCGTTAGGAACTCCATTACCTGTCAGCACAGTGACCGAAAACTCCGTAAAGGTTGCTCCTCCTTTCTAATGGTTTAAAACACATACAAAAGTAGATTTGTATTTTCTTTCCTCAACAGGACAAAGCAATCTCAGCCCATACACTGATGCTCCCAAAAAGTGGCTGTCACACGACCACACTTCACAGCACGTCAGTGGATTTCCGCACATTCTCACGATCACTTTAAGCTTTGTACCTTCCACCGCTCCCCAGGTCACACTCAGCCCAGAGGTCTGGCTGTGCCATGGCCCAAGGCCTAGTTTGATGCAGCAATGCTGTGTGACCTTGCCTGAGTGTTACTGAGAAAATTGTTAAGCTGTGAGAAAGTACATGAGCTAAATAGCCAGGAAAGGCTAAAAGCTAAAGGCTCCAGAAGCACTGTTGCTGGGTTGGCAGTAGTTAGCTGGTGAAAGATTCAAGAGAAAAGAAACAGAAGAAAAGCAGAAAATGCGAAGATAACTCGGTAATGGTGAGGATCAGCCCACATCAACAAATGGCAGAGACCAACTTTCCCCAGCGCATTGGACACTTGCTGGCCAGCTAGGGCTCATCAGTAGTGGTAAGCACATTACTCTTTCCAGTAGTCCTAGCTTACTATTTTGCACATTAGCTGATAAATAATTACTTATTACTTAATTACTGTATGCTGCTTGCAGAGTCTCTTTGTGAATGGTAAATGATGCCTGAACAAAAGCAACCCATTGGTTGTGAGTTGCATGCTCTCTTGCTAAAGTACATTCTCCCTGCATTAAACTATTATAAACAATTAAAAATAAAATTTAAAAAAATCTGTCCGTACCCAGCAGTTAGTTTTTCCTAATACTGCAAGAAGACCAGAACTGAAACGATAACAGCCACCCAACAGCCTGGCTACATTTCAATTATTTACAATTTCATTTTTTTCCATTCTTGCTAAGCACTGGGTATACAGCAATGGTATCAATTGCAGAAGAACTAATACAAATAAGGCAACAACATAAAACATATAACATTTTCTATCAAAAAAAAAAAAAGTGAAATTGCCATTACATGTTTCCATTTACCATTTCTAAGGAGTTTCTTCTAGAAGAGGCATTGGTCCACAGGGAACAGGGAGCTTTACACCAAAATGTTTGTCTCCTCTCTTTGTGTGACACTGCATTCCATTTACCTAAACACCAGCTTCGGTCTTTCCTGAGGATCATTTATTTTTATTAGAATGGAAAAGAAATATAGAGTGTTAGATCCTGAAATTTCTATTTAAAATCCCATTATAGTTTAATGTTAAATAGTGTAACAGCTTGATTTCTCCCTCCTCTCATTAAATGTTGAACAGCTGAGATAAAAACTGGAATATATTAAACACTTCCACTTAACAGTTTAAAACACTGGTCAGTGCCTGCCAATAACAAGAAATAAAAAATCTATATGTAAGTAATAATAAAAGAGATAAAAATTAAAGAGCTGTTTCTAAATGAAGGGCCATATTCAGTTCTTGTTACTGTCAGTACTAAAATCTATTTGAGCAGCGTTCTGGCAGTTCTGTAATGTGGTCAGAATGCATTTGCAGAACATATATTTTTCTCTTACTCAGCAGTTCAAACAATTTTTAAATGTATCAGACAACTGTTCAGAAAAATATTCAAGGTGATAACCTGGGCTTTCATAGTTGAGTTGCTTCCATTTCTTCTTCACCTCGAGATGAGTGCCATGCCAATCACACTTGTGTATAGCAAGAAGAAAAACAACCAGGGTTTAGCTGAGTCAGCTGTGCCTGTGACTTGCCCTCAGATATCCAGGGCTGGTTTCTTAATTATGGATGGGGATTCTAATTTGCACAGACCTCAAATGTCCAGTGACTTGGGTATCTGTTGTTATGGGCACATATACACAGGTGAGCGCTAACATTAAAGTAATACTTTCACAAAAATTTCAAGAGTAGTTTTGACTTCAGCTGAAGAAATGTTAGGGGAAAGAAAAGGTTTCATTTCTGAATAAAATTCTCAGCAGAACTTACACCTAACCAGAAGATTTTTTTAATTCTTTTTTTGAGGCGACCGTATCCTTTAGTTTCTGCTTGTTACAGAAACGTAAGGCGGCTGCAATACCTGCATTATTCCTCCAAGTATGCTCCATGCATAGAAAGCTGGAGAACAGAAGTAATCCATTAAATCCATGCAAAAATTAATTTCAGTGCATTCTGTCAAATTCCTGGTTTATCCAAGCCACCAGCATTCCACATTTGCACAAGCATATGACAACCCTGGAAAGGTCTCGGAGTCTTTACTGTGAAATCAGCAAACCTCTGCTTATGGAACGGGACTAACTGAACTGTTGAAGTCAACACTTGACTGATGAGTCATTAAAAAAGGGGGGGGGGGGGGATTCTCCCCAAATTTCTATCAGCTTCTTCATGAAGGATTAATGGTCCTTGCTCTGTAGTTTTTTCTGCTCTTTTCTGCCAGTTGTGAAAACTTTGAAAACTAACTAGTCCTGAAGTGCAAACGGATAATATCAGTTGTTCCAGAGTGCTTGGATCTAACAGACCTGTATCTGCACTCTGCAGGAGTGTCTAATAAATACCCAGTACGTCACAACATTCAACCAATACCCTTCACTTGTATCTATAAAGCAGCTATAATGTCCCAAACAAAGCATAGGATTGCTCATGCAGGAAATTAATTAAGCAACTATAGACCTTAAATCTTGTTTTATTCCTTGTGTATGCTTTGTCCATTAGACCACCCTGTACTTAGATTTTTTTTTTATTATTATTATTTTTTTAAGCACAGATCAGAAATGACTACGAGAAGACTGGCATGTCATTGTCCTGTTTACTAACAGGTCACACAGAAACATTAGTTGATAAAAATCTTAATTGACACAGAAGAATGAAAGACACTAGAATTTTAGATGTAACTCGCTGATGCCAGTGGCAGATTTTGCCTTATTTAGAGCTGCAGAGAGTTCTGGGTTTACTGCATGAGCTGCTCCGCCAGCCTCAGTGGCTAGCAACAGCTAGTTTTGCAAGATGTATTAGTCAGGGGAAGAAATGGATGGTGGAATCAGGGTCATTTTATTTAAAAGAACCCACAAATTTCTTTGTGCCTCAGCGCAGGAGGATTTAAATGACAGACACAGCTCATAGCTCCAAACCTCATTCAGCCACCACCCAATCCAGGAGGTTTCTTCAGAGATTTTTTTTTTTCTTAAGGTCTCACAATTACCAGCTCTCCTGAGATTATATATATAGTGGCTTTCTATTCTTAGCGTATTTCTCCCCTCCCTCTCTCACACGCACACACACACACACACACTTCCTACTCAAAACAAGACCCAGTGAAACCCTCTGCCCACATAGTTATAATTCCCAAGAGAACTTTCATATGCTTTTGTTTCGGGCAGTGACAATGTGCATATGTTTTGATTTCAGGCCCTCCCTTTTGGCTCTCATGCTTCAGTTCAATGCAGACAGACCAGTTATTAAACTCCCCAGTTTCAGCAAGCTGTAACCCAGCTTCTGGAGTTCCTCTGACCTTGCAAGTTGGAGTGAGGTTATTTTTTTTAACATGTTGCCTATTCAAGGATATTACTGGAGTAAATGTTTTGGTTTATCAAATACACACATTCTCCTGTTGGTGTTTGGTTTTAAATCTGTAAGGTGCTTGGACTCTTTTATAAAGAGCATGATATAAAGGTCAAGATTAGTAAATTAGATAGCTGCTATGAAGAGGAACAGCAAAGTTACCCCTGAGTTTTTTAAGTCAGTAAGAAAAAGTCTAAGAAAAGTGGAAATGGACAGATACGGGTTTGTAATTGTCATTCCTCACAATTAAAGTGAATTACAACTGTGCTAAAAATAGAATATCCACAGAGATATAATAAAATTGATTCAATTTTTTTTCTGTTTACTTGTATATAAACAGGTTTCTGATGAAAAATATTGCTGGATATTTTACAAGAAGTTTCTTTTAGCCTTTCCTGTTCTTCCTGAATATATTTCATGTCTGAAGAAAGGAAAAGAAGTTTGGGGCAGTCCCAGTCAGTCTGCCGGTCAGTCAGACTTCTATCTTTAATACAGGCATGTAACAATTTTTGCTTTGAAGGTTACATGAATCACAAATCGTCCCTGTCATGTGAATCCAGACACATCACAGGTTGAAGAAAAGAAAAGTACCCCAAACGAAGAAGTTTGCCACAGATACGTGAATTATAATACTGTTTGGAACTGAAAGACAACAAGATTTCACCTTCTGGAGCAGAGATTTCATGGATTCCAATTCCAACACTGTGGTTGTAACTGGTAAGACTTTCATTTTGCTCATCTCTAGCTAAAAGAAGGTGTGCACACACGCTTGAGCTTTGTCGTAAACAGTTCCCTGGAGGGAAAACCAGTAGCAAACGGTCATACGAACAATTCCAAATGGAAAATAACTTGCTGCTGTGCCTTCCTAAGAAAAATCAGATGCATGTCAGAGGAAACAGACTGCAGTCTGCCCTCTCTGCTGCCATCCAGTTTGGTTTGTTGTTCATTCTCTCCATGTTTTAATCTTTGTTGACATTCTCTCTGATCCAAACCACATCGCTCAAGGCAGCGCAGGCGAGTATTAGATAAAGCTTACCCAAAAGGAGCTCTGAAGCAAGAAAACCAGGTTGCATCACAATGTCACATAGTCAGTGTCCAGAATTAGAGCAACACATGGCAAGTTGCAGGGTCTCAGTTTCACGGCAAGGTAAGGGAGATTTAAACGGGAGATGCTGCCTCATCACTGCTGAACGAGACCATGAAATTTAAATGCACCGAAGGAGCGTGCCTGAACATGCAGCGCAAGGGACCAAATTAGGAGTGTCTCTTGCTGGCTCTAGCTACTGCTGAATCACAGTGGCAGAACCACCAGCTAGAGACTTCTGAGCTTTAGAAGGTTAAAGCTCTTCAGGAATGCTGCTACTCGCTACTCCTCTTGTTGCCACTGGCTCAGCTAAAGGCAATCATTACACAGATCTTGACATGGGAGTTGCTGGATAATTTTCCACTGCAGGTCATTTAAGGACATAGGAATGAGGTTGAAGTTACATCAAAGACATTTGCATCTTGCTGTTTTCAATTAAACACTTGTTTGTTTGTTTGTTTTTAATAGCTGCGAGATGGGCAGAACTAGTTTGGCTTGCTCTAGCTGCATGGAGCTGAATGGGAGCGCGGGAGAGAGCTGGAGGTCTCTGCTAACCTCTGAAAACGCTGACGAGCTGTTGCTCTCCTGTGATATTTATGGCACATACCCTTGATGGGCACGCTTCTTAGTGCCCTGTGAGGTTTTTCCTCTCCTTACACAGCCATTTAGGTGCAGAAATCGACTTGTTCGAGCAGTTTTAGACTAGTGCGTCCTGTTCCAGACACAGGTGCATCTTTAAGCGATTACAGAGATTATCACAGCGTGCCTCTGTCACATTTTCACCTGCTCATAATATAAACCTGCTGGCAGCGAGCCCAGTTTATTACATAGTGCTTAATGATATTCCCCCAGTTAGCTCTCCAAATGTTGCAGGTATTTCAGTACTGTAAATCTCTCTTACATTTAGTCATTTCTTTTCATAGAACAATTTTATCCTAAGTGGTAGTTTATGGCCACCACTGAGATGCATGTATTTCACTGTGAACTATTTAATAACTTTAATATGATTCTGCTGTTCTGCACACACAGGTTCACAAACATGCACCACCTTCAAAATGGAGTAGGTGTCACCCTAATTTTGCTCTGAAAGCAGAGTGGGACTAGGGAGGTTTTATGTTCCCTGTTAATGTGAAATGAGCACTATTTCCCTTGTTCCCCTGCCATAAACCTGGGGAAAACATTGTCAAAAATATTAGCACCATCAGGTTTTTCATAGTATTAGAGAGAAAAGAGTGAGCAGTTATGAAGTAAGTATTAACAAATTAAGAAATGCTTAAAGTCTAGCATTAATTAAGCTGTCATAAGCCTGCATTTAGGCTTAATTGTCCCCACATACAAGTACCTTTCACTGTGCAAAACGGCAATGATAGGCTGTCAAGTACTTATTTGTCCATTTAAGGATTTTTAAATATTTAAGAGTTATAGCATTAAAACCATTTCACAAACTCATTTTCCTGCCACCCAGCATCTAAGACTTGGCAACACTCTGGATTGAGCGAGAACAGTAATTGAGATTAATAAAGATAGTGGGAGTTTTCCATCAAACTTTTTCGTGACAAAATGCCCATCCAGCTTCAAATGAGATTTTTTTTTTCCTTTTTGTTTAAAAAAGTCTTTCACCAGAAAGGATGCATAAAATCAAATGTTGTACTTTGGGTTCAAAGAGTCCTTTTCCCTTTCCTCCTCTCTTTTCCTGTGGGGGAAAAAATAAAGGAAGAGGTTTACCCCAGGACCACAAAAAGCACAATTTCCCTGACAGAAAACTTAAGTTTTCATTACCTGGGATTAAAAAAAATATTACAAATGAAATAAAATTTTACTGTTTGAAACATTTTCATTGAATATGTGTATCTTCATCTTCCTGAGCTTTTAATAAGAATGGTACATTGACTGTGACCTGAAAGTATTTAACACCAGATCTCTTAGTAGTGCTATTTCTATGGATGATGATCCTTGCTCAAAATCATCATTTACGTGATCTGTCCTATCGGCTCCAGTACATTTACTAGCTTCAATTAAGGTTATCTCCTAAGGAAGCCTTGACATGAATGGAGATTGCAGGATTAGTTCTTGTATCAGTGCATATAAAAAAAAGAAAATGCTGTTCTCTTAAGTGTTACAAAGTCTAAATCCTATCTAAAAAACTCAACCTCCATAACCAAAAATATGAAGATAAAGAGCAAACGTGTGTGCGCATACGCGTCGGCACCTAATCTACTACAGCAGAGCAAGAAGTGAAAAGCATTTTTCTTTTCAGGTTTCGGTCCCTTCAGACAATACCTGGTTAATTCTAGCTGGGAAGCAGTGAAGGTAAGCATAAAAAAAAGGGAGGGAGGTGTTTTACTTTGTGGAAATCCCAATCCAAACTGTTTTCAGGCTTTCCATTCCCTTCAAAAAAGTTGTGTCTCATGACTCACTGAACAGAACTGTGCCTCATGGAGCAGAGTCCGAACATGGAAGAAAGACGATAATTAAGAAGTGAAACATTATTTTCTTTGCACAAATGTTTTTTTGATGCTATTTAAGCACTTTTCAAAATATTATTCTTGATGTTAAAAAAGGATATTTTTTACCCAGGGTGCTTCTCTGCAACTAATGCATGTGCCGCAGGTTATCTCTGTCTTCAGTAAAGAGCCCACCTCATACCACAGCTCATTCTGTCATGTCTGCGTGAGCCGATTCCCTTCTCATACAAGTGTGGCCTGTTGAGTTCTTGCTGCCTGCTGCAGGCACACACCACCTAAACCATGCCAATTCTGAGTATGTTTTCCCATTTCAGCTTTGGCTTCCACTTTCACATGACAGTGAATTCTACAGTTAAAATGGAAAACAAGGCCGGTCAGATTTCTTCCCCCTCCCTACACCTTGACTAGCAGTAACAGGGGGGGGTCTTGAAAATTCCTGCGTATTTCCTAAATATGTGCATTAGAACAAATTTAGCTGGGTGGCACAAAGACGTGGTTTTGATTGCTGGCTTTCAGCATCAGCTTTTCTGTTGCAATTGCTTATTTTCAAATTATTGTTTGTGTGAACCCACATTTCTTGGGACGCACCAGAAAGCTCCACAAATAGATTATTTCTCAGGAACAAGATTACTCATTTTTAAAATATTTTCTGAGTTTTAATAACAACATAATTTCTGTCTTCAAATATGTCTTACCAAATAAATACCCAGCCATTGTATGTAAGAGTATGTCTGCTACGATGAAATAATTTACTAGTTGGGTACTTTAGTGCTCTAGCTCAATCTGAAGTGTGAAAGGTCAGAGTATACATGTTCAAACAGTAGGAACAGCTCCAGAGATTTGCTGCGTGTGTGCAGAAGTCGCGTGCAAGGTTCACTCATTCTCCCTAGCACAGACTATGGCCTTTCCTCGAGTTCAGTTACTCTCATAAGGTATTTATGAACAGAGTTATTTTGAGAGGGTCTTTCACACAAGTTCTTAGCCATTCCAAGGTAGAAAGAAGGTTTAGACAATGAAATCTGAAACTAGTTGGGGAACAGTCAAGATAGTAAAACTGAATTGGAAGATTAGTCCAATATCTGCAAGAAACAACCAGATAAGACTGTTAAAAATGAAAAGTGAGACATAAAACAAACTGAGGGGACTATGTTCTATTACGGAGACTGAAGGAAATACTTAAATACTTCTGGACACTGAAATGAAAGAGGCTGCTATAAGAAAGCATTAGTAGTGATAGAAAAGGTGGCGACTCTACAGGCCTATAACCGTATCACAAGTGTTGGTGACAGCTACTGAAGACCTGTCTTGAAAACGAAGTGCAGTCAAGCTAAGGCGATTGAAAAGCAAGGAGCCAGTACATTTTTCCAAAGACCAAAGCTATAGCAACTCCACCACCCCAGAGATATTTTCTACTCTAGCATTGCTATGTGAAAAACGCTGAGTGCAACTTGGTGCTTGGTAGAATAAATCTATTACCTGCTCAAAGTCGTGAGGGATGTTATCCCTGTAGGTTAACAAGAAACAAAAATACTTCTGTGTCAACTTTCCACACCCCAGTCATCGCAGGAGACCTGTAAATTATCGTAACTCTAACCTGACATGGGCCCTAAACCACAAATATTTGTCAGTTGACAATGTTCTTGCTCATTTATTTCCTGATTCCTGTTGGTTCTAATTTTGGGTGCAAGATCATCCTCTTCTGGTTGAAAATAAAACCTGTTCTTTATCTTCAAGCAAAACAGCCTAAAGCAAAAGCGCACCGATGAGTTTTCTGTAACAACGCCATGTGCTGGCTACGCCAGGAAGTTACATAACAAGGGCTACAGCACTCCATAAAGAAACAGATGTCAGTCCTTGTGTATGGAGGAGAACAAATCCATTTGCCTCTGATGTGACACCCCCCGCGTGGAATTAATTTGTATTCATACCAGGGATGCTGCTTTGCTTTCCTATTCCCTGGCAAAGGTGGTTAAATCCAGCCAATTCAGGGAAATTTGCTGCAAATCTGGAAGTACTTTGAATTTTGATAGGCTCCTCCACGCTAAATCGCAATCTCGTGGTATTGTTCCATTGGCCTTGTTCACAAGAGTAGCCCCATGGTCTTCAGGAAGCTTACGCACATGTATGACGGATAGCAAAATGTAGTGTTTACATCTGGAAGTAATCCTGCCTTGGCTTGGGGCTCCTGCCTGGATCGCTAAAGTGACATAAAGCCCTCCTGCCGAGTCTCTTTTCTGAGAACCAAGCAGGAGGACACTCAAACTCATCCTCAAGAATGTACCGAGCAGCCAGGCCAGAGCTACTAAACGTGACTGCTCAGGCTTAAGGCCTTTGTAGCGTTATCCAGAACTGTCCTAATTACTGCCCCAAAATGGACTGGGTTCTTACCAAAAGCCTGGATACCACGGCACCCTCAGTGATGTTGTAACGCTGATACACGTGATCTTAAGAGTTCACATCCCAGAAGGGTCCTCATACCAAAAGCATCCAAAATCCTATAAAAATACATGTAACTGGAGTTCCAGGGTCCTAATTCTCAAAGCAGAGCCTCGCCCTCCACACTTTTGGAAATGGAGTCTTTGCCAAAGGGCAAGGCTTCACTTCTGTGAGCAATGCTGGCTCCTACGCACAACTGCTGCCTTAAAATCCCCGTTAGGGGCTTCTCCGTGAGATGCTGTTGTACTCTGCTTTGCTGGGGGGATCAGCTGTTTTCCTAAACCTCTTTCCTTGCTGTAGGGAGGATCAGCGATTGATCCAGCGAGCACGTAGCCCACTCCAATAGTTGCATCCCTCCTATGCCCTCGTTGGGCACTCAGAAAAATGGTTGTGTGATAATTATTTATACTGCCTTTTTGGTGAATAAGCCAATTTCCATTTTCTGAAATCCCCAGGAAACAGATGGATAAATGTTAATAAAACTCTCCAAATCTCTATTTCTGCTGGTTTAGAAAGAGTTCTGAATTCTTGGATTCCTTATGGGTATGAGGTAGCAGTGCATTGTTGCACATTGCCTGTTTTATAGTATCAACATACAATTTTCCAAGAACGTGAATACCACCCTGTCGGTTTTGCATGGACCCAAGTTCTCATCACAGCACAAGATGACTCGCACATGAGGCATTCATCAGCGTTGCATCCACGGAGTTCTCTTCCTCAGCAAGTAGCCCTCCAGTGTCCAGGGAAAAGGGTAGCCTAATGGATCTGAAAGTACAGGCGAACCTGTCAATTCAGGGTCATTGAGAAAAGCTTCAGAGCTTTTATAGACACTGTCACGTGGCCCACCATGGCTGTCTAGCACTAGAAAGACAGCTTCTCTTTTAGAAACCTGTCTCACTAAGTTTTTCATGGTTCTCATAACTCCATTCACCTGAAATACCCTCCTAAAATATGCACAAAACCTCCAGCAGCAGCACTTCTAACTCTGGAAGGGCGGGACATTCCCTCTGAATGAAAACACCACCAAGTGTTTACTCCGCATTTGCTGACGGATCACACTGAGTTACGATGGTGTGTCAGTTCTTCAGCACCACATGGGACCCTCAGAATCCCAGATCCCCCGAATTATTTATTCCATGTTACAGACTGATGCTCCCACCTAATAACCCTTGATCTGACCCTGTTTCTACATCTCCTCCAGAAACTCCTTTCTGCAACTTGGCAGCTGAATAACCGATCAGGGGCAGTCTACCATCGAGGTCGGAGTCCCCAGTTAATAGGGCACAAATGTGCGTTGAGTGACAGCATTCATAGTAATTAAACTGTTAGTGCAAAGAACAGGTCGCGTTTCCAACTGCTTCTGGGAACTGTGTTTGCTACCGGGAGATGAGGATCAGATCTCCGAGCGCAGTTTTTCATCCTGCCACTGACCATGTGGTCTTTGGAAATTTGTCATTTAATCTCTCTGTCTCTCGCCCTCTCTGCTTTGGTTTCATCGTCTGTGAAACTAAGACGACACTGCTATTTAGTGCCTCCAGTTCTGTTCTGGAACTTTCTTACATCCCTAAAGCTTTAAAAAGGTATCTGCAGGATTCAAAACAAAACAAAACACAACACAAAAAAACCTAAACCAACCCCCAAACCCCACCAAACAACCAAACAAAACAACTTTGTATGCCACACACTCGCAGACTGACTGGGTCAACGGATAACTCCTGGTTTTCTTCTGCCACCAATACAAGCCTTTTTGAATGAAGTTTGCAAAATGAACATGTGAGCCCCCTGCCCTCCTCCCCCGCTCCTGGCAAATCATTGAAAAATCAGGCAAACTCAGGGAAATTTTCTGGAGTTTTCTAGCAGTTCAAGATGCTTCTAACACCCCGTGTGACGCACAACCGCTGCACCTGAGCACAACTGTTCTGTGCAAATCGCTTCTCTTTGGGGAGGGCTGGGTAACAACGTTGGCTAGAACTCCAGTGGACCCGGACTGTGACCACAACTCACCGACTCAAGGTCATCATCAGCTGATAACGCTGGATTTCCTCTCCCTTTTCAAAGAACTTCCCAACAAAGGATCTTCACACTTTCTTTTGAACGACGTTTCCCACAAAAAAGTCCTCCAAAACTTTTGTCCTCCTTCGAAGTTTCCTTTGCTGTTTCAGCTACAAAACCCAGGCACCTGTTTACTGAGTTACCTCACCAGAGTGAGCTCTCGGTTCCAGATGCAGCCATCCTCCTCTAACCATCTTCGGTCTCTCACCTTAAATGCAAAAATGGTTTTGGTTAAGGCTGAGACAAGGAGCCACCTGGTCTCAGGGGGTATAAGCCCATGGTCAGGATGCTTAGACAACAAAGTAACACAAATCACTGACAACATGATGAAATTGCTGAGGACGTGGTGAACTATCTTCCTTTGACACAAATTCTCAGCCCTTGCTATTGGCCAGCTTCTGGGTTTGTCCTGCACGAAGGTATTTCTGCGTGTTTCCCCCATGACAAATGGTGACAACAAAACGTCGGTCCAGGCAGCACCGGCGCAGAACTGCCTGCCAGCTCACTGCGGGTCTCCACACTCTGCACCAAAGTTACGGGTAGTCGAGTCCTCTAAGCCTTACAGTTAAAAAGGAAGAATCTCATTAAATGTTAAAATTAAAGATGCTTTAGAAAAGAAAATGCTAGTTGTGAAGCAGCTGGGGTTTTCTTTGTTGGAAGCGAAGACACAGCACAGCATTCTTAAGCAAGATGATGCAACGGTCTCTCAAAGACTGTCAGCGCCCAGAGGAAGAAAGGCTGGCACTGTTCTCTAAATGTGTTTACTTCCCTGCAGGCATTGTTTCCTTGCTTGTGTCAAATAGTTTATTGAGCACAGCTAATCAATGTTTCCGCTGACAAGAAAACTGGAACAGTTTATATAGGAAGCCGGTGTTGAAGGGCAAATTTCCCAGTTAGCACAGCTTAGAACTGTGGGCCTCATCCGCACGAGTGTCTGTAGTGAGAAATGAAAACTTGAGAAGACAAAGACATTCAATACAAAGTTACAGGTTTCGTGGGCTAATCGGATACCTCTGCTGCTGCCCTCCTTGGCAGCTTCATCTGTGCCCTCCGTTGGTAGCCATCTACTCAAATGCACCAGGGAAGTTCAGCCACCATTTTCCTTTTCTGGGACAAAGCCCTCTACCTCCGCTGCGCTCCTGCAGCCTGCCATTGCAGCCACCTGCCTTCTGCTCAGAGGCTAAAGCCTCGTTTGTTAGCCCTGCTCCACTGACAAAATAGTTTCAGGTCATTTCTACACGACATTTATTCTCCAGACCATCTTCCAACCAACCGACCAATCTGCTGCTTTGAAAGGAGCCTTTGTTTCTTTCACCTCAATTCTGGGTGTAATTTTTGTTTCCTTTGGGAAAAGGTCCCATGGGGAAATTCAACTCTGCGTAAATGACAGAGCAAAAACATCCCAATAACTGATGTTTCCTTTTGCTAAAGAAACATATTCTAGACCAAAAAAGAAATGAAACGCATTCTAAATGTGACCTTCCTCAACGTTGACCGTCACCTCCAGCAGAGTTTACCTGAACCCGTTCAAGACAGCAGATCACGTGTCACTTGACTGGACAGCTCATGTGAATTCCCTTTCAAGTTGTGTCTCTTGATAGCGCAGGTTTATCTGCTAGATCTTTCAGAGGAACAGCTCAAAGCCTATTTAGATGCTTTCAGGCTTGTACCTTTTCTGACAGATCCTGCATTTCATGGTGCCCCATGGGCCAGTCCTTAAGCAACAGCCACTCCCACCCATTGGAGACCGCGCACCCCTTTGGAAAGCACAACAACGGCTCCACATGGACATGACCTTAGGAAATTGTTCAGCACATTTTAGTCTTTTCCCATTAAAAAGGGGGAGCTACCACTACCCAAATGAATCCCACTGCAGACTAGAATTTAGGAACCGTGGGCTTGGCCTTACATTGCTCTGTCAGATGTTTTCTCAGTTGCATCAGCCTGATTTCTTTCACACAGTCGGAGAAATCCAACGCTCTTACAAGTCCATGGTGGCTTTTTTGCAAACACAGGAGCTGTCCAAGAGAGGCCTTGGTGAAAACATAGATCTCCGTATCATGCAGCTGCCGGTGGTTTACCAAAAAGCAAAGGAGCAAGTCTTCAACATATGGACAACTCTTCAGCCGCTGGTGAGTAATCAGAAAGTTACACAATTTCCCCCCTTCGTTTATGAATATTATTGTTCGGAGTGGATCTTTAAAAAGATCTCCAGAAGAGTATTGCACAATAGGGGCATCAGGCAATCTGGAAAGCGGCTATTAAAACTGTGATAAAGGTTTCAAACCAAAATCCGGAGCACACGGTAATTAGCATGCTGCTTTAACCCTCTGCCACTTGAACAGCGTAACTACACGCTGAACAACGGAAAAAACCCGATCCACCATGAACTGCCACGAAGGGACTGCAGCTCTGATGTCCTGAGCTGACTAGACACGACAAAACCAAGCTAAAGCACAATTTTGTTCTCATTTGTAATCTCTTATGGAAGTTTTCTTTGAGCACAAGCTACAGCTCCCTACCTCGCAGCTCGTACTTCACATAACGCTTGGCCCTGTTGCATGACGTGCTTTTAAAAACCAGGTCTCGTTTTTAATTTCCTGTTATTCTCTCTGGTGGGAAAAAACCAGCTTACTGTTCACGTTGGGCTGGCTTCATCCGCCAAAGCACTCATCATCCTTGAGCAGTGTGGGAAGAACAAAGGCTACCAAGAGATGGATGCTTGTGGTTTTCACCCAGAAGGTGGCTGTTGCATGCTAGATGGTCCAGAAAAGATTGAATCTACAATTAATATGAAGACCGTCTGGAAAAACATTTCAGTGGAAGGGGTTGATATCATCTTTTCCAGGGACGCGGGAAGGTAAATATTGCTGTCAGGGTCTCGCAGTAAAAGCAGAAGTAACTCCATCAGCTCATTTAACCTTGGAGGGTCTTTGCAATGACTTTTCCTCCAAGCAAAACCCCTTTGAAGCAAAGTCTTCAGAGGGGCACAAGTATGAAAGTGGGATAAATTTAAATTTTATGGAAAGCACCCTTCATGAAAAACTACAGCCAGTAGATATTTTTCCATGGATTTGTAAATTCCAAAAGAAACAAGTTTCAACATCGCACGCCCTGTGATTAACAACCCCAGTAAACCTGAGCTATTAAGAGTCTGAAAGCAATACTGACTAGTAGCAGATTTTAATCTATTTTTCCCAACTGGGAGGGATACAAAATGTAAATACATCCACTGAAGAACAGAGCAATTACAGGTACCTTTGGAACGATGTCTGTGATCTCATTACGTGTTTGAGCAGTACTGAAGCAATTTTCTGTTACGCTAGTCTGCACTCACAAGGAAACCACAGAAAACGATCCCGTTTTCAAAAAATAAAAATCAGCTGATTTTGGCCCTTAACTTCAGGATTTGCACCTCCAAGTTAAAAGGCAGGGTGACAAAACCCCCCCGACCTCCAGACGGTGCGATTGTAGGACTCACACCACGAGCTGGGTTAGACAGCTGCAGTTCCAGCGGGCTGTGTTACCTTCCCAGTCTCACATAGCCTGCAGAAGCCTAAGCCAGAGTGCACGGCTTGGGATTTTTTTTTTATTTAAAGTTCCTTCTGGGTGGGTGTCTGCGAAACCAAACCATCAGATAAGGAACATTTGTTTCTCAAACTTGGTTTATTTCAGTATTTCCTTTATTCACTAAGCAAATATGTTTTTAATAATTTTGTAAACCAGATCTGGTTTGGCTACTTGAAGAGTATTTAAATGTCATCAAAGCGCACTGCTCCTTAATTCAGGTTTCTGGCTTGGTTTTGTTCTGAATATGGCAGGTATATCTGTGATTTCACCTACTACGCTTCTCTGTATTACGGCAGTGGAAGAGCAGCTTTCATCCACGTGCCTCCATTATCCACATCGGTAACAGCAGACTTTCTCGGAAAAGCATTACAGACAATTATCTTCGAAATGTTAAAACAGTGCGGGGAAGAAAGAGAGGAGGATGGATCACAGAAGAAAAACCCGAAGGTTTCTTAGAATGCCGTTCCTTACCTCTTAAATGAAGCAAATCTGAAGATTATTGAAAACCCCTGCATAAAGGATTTCATATGCCGTGTTATTTTCAGTGAGATTTCCTTACGAAACCCAAACAACTGTTCAGATCCCTCTTTGGTGTGAAAGGCTTGAGAGAAAAAACAAACGACTGACAGCCTGTATTGCTGACAAGAGCAAGGTTGCTTCAGGTTTAAGAAAGCATGAAACGGGACTTAAAACATTGTAGATGCTTAATCCTTTGTTCGAAAGCCCTTAGTAAAGACTTCCTGAACCCAGATGGACGCTTACCGCCGCAAGGATGTTCAGCACGGGATGGTGTAAGAGGGGCCACTTGGCCCCAGCCTGAATCCAGAGAGAGTTCAGCCATACAATGGGCCCACATAAACCGCGTAAATATGGAGGAGAACATGAACACAACACACGCAGAGATCCTGTTATGTGAAGTTTACAATTCTCTCGTAGCGACCTGCTGGTTTCCCCATCAGAAATGGGCTACCCACCCAGGGCGGCTCAAAAGAAAGTAAAGAAAAAGCCGGAATCCAACTGGTTCTGTAATGCTGTTGGTGATTTGGGTTTCAGCTGCCCAAAACCACCGCTTACCCCATGCTCAGCGCCTGTCCCAAAGGAAAACCCCGCAGCCCTTCCACAGCGCAGCACCCAGACAAGAGCCCGTCAGCAGAACAGCTCACGGCTGTTCAGGGACTTAGGCATCAACACCAAAAGCCGAACTTGTCCCAGGAAAGGCAGCGGCTGAAGCCCTGTGCTGTGCCAGGCGTCACGGCACACAACGTTACCTACAGAACAGGAACCAAACGAGAGCTCAAACTGTAAAACTCCGCATGGGGCAGGGACAGGTCACGTCTGTGCTTCCCCCCTGCCACGCCAGGCTCCCCGTCTCCACACGGGCTGCGCCGTGACAGCTGGCTGTGACAGAGGTTTGCAGCGCTTCCCCTTCAGCACACAGGGACCGTCAACGCACGCTCTCCGTGATAATCTTGCTAGTACCGTGACAGCCAAGGGCGAGATAAAAATAGCGGGTATTTTTCAAAAACAGTCACTAGAAGAGGACAGCAGCAGCTTCATCTGGACACCTGGGATTTCTCCAGGGAAACGAAAGCCCGTTCTGCAGGCATCACGCTGGTAAAAAGGATAACGGCCCAACCGAAGAGGAGGAACAGCTGATGAAGCTCTGGGCCACCATCGTGCCTCGCTTCAGTCGATGTTTTGATGACAGGAGGCAGAGGCACGGGAAGCACCAAGGTAATTCTCGTTTTCTTGCCGCTCTTTTTTTCCAACGACCGTTACAGAAAGCTGGTAACCACCGGGTGGCTGAATGCCTCATCTACGGATTGCTGTGAGGGGAAATACGCGGGTTCTCTTCAGATGAAGAAATCAATTTATTGCACCTTATTCAAGGGAACTACCTACTGCAAAACAGGGCTCAAAGTCCCATCGAGAAATGGTCCACAAGCTCAGTGTCACTGGATGAAAATAGTTTCGATTTCAAACATAATGGCAGCACTGACCTCTGCTAAGATTTCTTCCGAGTAGCTCAACTAAATGTAGCCAAAACAGAGATTTGCTCTGTTTTCAAACCTGTACTTGCTTTGCGTAAGGAGCAACAAATTCAGAAACAGGCAAATGCATACAGAATTCTTTTATTTAACTTAAATCATGTAGTACTGAAACTACTAGAAAAAAGCAGAGTAAGAGAAACTAAAGGAGCCTTAGCTTCAGCCATTCAAAATAGACAAAGTTTCTTCTTTTCATAATGTAAAGAATCCCGAGTATATCGCAATAACAGGAATAAATTCTTACAACAGAATATACAAAAACATTTTGAAATTTTTTTTATCTACTGATTCATTTTAATATAAACACAGGAATTTCTTTAGGAATAATTTATACACAGCAAGTCTTTTTATGTAATAAATTGGCCATGTTATTGTTTAATTTTCTCTTAAAAAAATTTAAACAAGAAAAATTGGAAAATGTTGTATTTGCAACTGCATCCATTCCTTAGCACTTTCTAGTTTTGTTTTTGTCCCAGAGGTAGACAAACTCTGGCCAATCCTTTCATCTCAAACCTCACTGGTTCAGCAAACAGAAGAGCCGATTTTTAAACAGTATCTAAATCATCAGAACCCTTCAGCAACGTGGTTGGTCAAATTTGGGGGAGTGAGGGGGAAGGGATCTTCAATAGTCTTAAATAAAAATAAATAGGGACCCTGCCTTGCTCATGGTCAACAAAGCTTCGAATGGTGCTCAACATCTTTAGAGGCTGCATACAAACTTTCAGAGAAATCTGCAAATCGTTCTTCCCTAGTAATCATGGATTGTCTTCCCTCTTTCTCTTGTGCTGTCGCATCCTTCAAACCACATGGCCACCGTCAGGCAGGTACTGACCAGCACAGGTGAGCCGGGGGAGCAGCAAAGCCCGTTCTGTTTCCCCGACCAGTGAGGTTCTTGTAATCCGTTAAGTAACTGCCCTAGACAGTAAAGTGAAATGACCAGTTATGATGATCCCACCCCAACCAGAGGGCTCTGGAAGACCAGGATACTGAAGATACAGAACATTTCCCCAACTCCTTTATTCATTCGCTGTATTCTGGGACACAAAGCTTGGGCGGGTGAGGGGAGAGGGACACGCCGTGCACTGGACGAGTTAGCCATCCTTTTTTGGCATATTGTAAAGCTAACTAGGAAACCGGTACCATCCAAAACCTGATCACAGACAGACACACCCATACACAGACACAGCAAAGTGCCCTTAAATTATATTTTAGGCATTTATAAACTACAAACATTTTATAAAATTATTCTATGTACTTACAAAATGCAATGAAACATTTAATTAGTTCTTGTAAACCAGATCTTCGTCAACTGACTACCCGTAATCTACTGGACGTAAAGCCCTATTGAAAATGCTAATGGATCGCTAATCAACGAAACGTGTACAAAAAAAAAAAAAAAAGAGAAAGATGAGCACACACGCGTAGGCACACACACAGACTGGTGACAGGCTTCGGGTACTTGCAAAACAGACCAACTGCAAGTCGAGACTGATTCCTACAGACCGATGACAACCACCGTCAAACTCCCGGCAATGAATTCACCGCTGCAGCTGGAGAGCCCAGAGGTTTATTTACAAGTACCAACGATCCGAATGGCGATACCTGAGCTCTGACGCTGTCCCACATACCAAGCTCAGGAAACTACCTCCAACTTGTGCCAAGCCCTGTGTCTTCATAAATACCCCTTTCCATACCCTCTGTTGGCACGTGTCTCCGCACAAACACCTCTCAATGCCGATCTACCCGGCTGCGCTCCATTTCAGAGGCCGTTCGTCGCCTCAGAGCAACCAGTTTCTGAACCGGGGCGTCCTTCGAAGCCCTCCTGCCTATTTGTAGTTCTGTATCTTCAGCACCCCCGGCCACTAGTGTTGTTTCTACACATCATTCTTAAATTCTTGTCTGCACAACTACTCATGGGTTAAGTTGCAATATCTGGCTGTTATCACTGGTTAGTAAGGAGTGGATCCCTTGCACCTTCCTCCACTGTTGTTCAGCCCAGTGATTAAATACACAGTTGACAAACAAAATAAGAATAACAGGAAACAAGTGTTACTTGTACTAATGGAATGAACAGGGTTTAAATATATATATATCTACATACGCAGATATATATATGTATATATAGATATATATGTATGGAGTTACACCAACAATAGGAGTGTTGTTCACTTGGACTCAGATTGTACTGAACACCCCTCAGCAGTTCCCAGAGGACCTGAGAGCAGTTCCATCTGGTGACCAGTTGTCCTGGGCAAACTGGGCTTTCTTTCCTTTGTTTTTAAAGGCCAAGAGGAGCATCAGTGCGAACACGCCTAGAACGATACATCACTTGGAACCAGCTTCAGAGAGCAGAGGCATCGTGCTGAGAAAGCCCCGGTGCACACGGGCTGGCCTCACCCCTTCCATCCCGCTCGGCCTCTGCGCCCGGTTTATGGCTCCCCCAAAGAGCAGCTCACTTAGTGCCGCGCAGCTGACGCCTCTGCGTTTACATCGGAGCCACGTTCCTTTGTGACCAAACCACCTTCAGTGCCACCGAGCAGCTTGCAAACGCGAGTCAGGCGAGACCAACGGCCGAGCACTAAGACCAAGGCCGCCTGCTCCCCGCGGTGACGCCAATTTGGTGTCCTACTGCATTAAAACATCTTGGTACCATTTGTCAAAATGCTGGTTTTCAGGGCTGGGTGGGCTTTTGTTTTTCATTTATAAACAAACTGGATTACTTGAACTTTATTCAAACACAGCTGAAGTTCTAAATAAATTCTCCATACCAGACAAGCCAGTGGTCTCAGGGAAGAACAACATCACAAACCATATTATGACTCTATCAAGCCAACATTAATTCTCAGTTGTTCACATGCACAAACAACTTGATTTACTGTCCAAGGGAAGTCTGCATGAAAAACCCATGTGAATAAAGCTATTCAAAATGCACAAAACACAACAACAACAAAAAAAAAAGCTACGGAAACAAACAGAACAAAAAAAGGAATTAAGCTTGAATTGCAAACACAGAACGCAATGGTATCATGAAGGTGGTTTGGTCCAGGAGAGCTGACCGTCATCACGCATGCCTACGTGATGTCACGTGACTGTCTTCTACTCAAGTGCTTTTTGAAATGTTTACCGTGATGGGTGCTACGTCGTTAGTGTTTCTTCCTAATGCATTTTAAAACCACCTACATACAATTATAAAAACCAGTAACTTGGACAGTTTTAACAAAACCCTCCTAGCCAGCTGAAAGATCTGAGGATCTCCAGTTGTGGTAATCAATATGTGCAAGAGAGGGGAACAGCCACTGCACCAAAAGGTCACCGTAACCTAACGAAAAATGGAAAACCAGAACCACCCAGTAAAAACTGTAAATTTCGCCGTTTTCTCGGGGCTAGAGAGAAACGCTCCCTCCAAAGACGGCCCCTGTGGTGCTGAACCACAGCGCTGTGTATTCAAGAGGCCGTGTACAACTCGAAGTAGCCAAGCACCACGTTATTCAGATACCACAACCAACACCTGCACGAACAGCTGCCAGAGCTGGAAAAAGAGAAACCTTATACATCAAGTTGATGGCAAGCCCGTGTTAGTCCTGTGTGCCTGTAAACCAGCTACACGCTGTCAGAGGGCAGTTAAAATTTGATGGCTGGTCCATCGGAATCCACAGTTACGAAGCAGATAAACGGGGGAAGAAAAGGGAACTGAATTTTTACTGGCACGTTAAAAGAAATCAATTCAACGTTAGTTTTGAAAAAAAAAAAAAATCAGTGCTCTCATCAAACAGAAGCAGCAAAGATCCAAAGCTGTAAACTCGGTGTAGCAGTATCACCAGGCAGCCCGTGACAGGGTTTTTTGGTCAAGAAAGCACTGCTACTGCTGCACGAGCCCATTTATTTTTAGGTGCCGATTCAGCCAAATGTCTTTTTGGTGCTTGTGGCATCCAAGGAAAAACCGGCAGGAATGACCGAGCCCCTTCTAGAGGACAAACAGAAAGACCATTCCCTTCAGCAGTTCTTCTGGACCTTCCAACCCTGTAACCAATTGATTTCTGTAACAGATTTCATCAAATACTCATAATTTCAAGTCCTCCTATCAGGTCAGCTGTGTCTCCGCTCATCGAAACACGCAGCATTTTGTGGCTGACCTGAGGACGGCCGTGAGAGCACATGAAAAAGCCTTTGTGTTTCCTTACAGAATGGTCACCCTACGTCAGCCAACTCTCGGATTTCTCCTCACAGTAACGAATCTAAACCAAAAAATTGGAGAAGCTCCTTGGAATTGAGGCAAATACTCTGAAGTGACCCTTTGTGACAGGCAGTGACTGTTCCCCTCCAGAACCTAGAGCATGTGGTATATGGAGTGAGAGGTTACCAGTATCAACGGCATTTATTGGCTGCTGAGAAACGTGAGATGTATTTTTTTTTATATACACACATATAAAAAAATAAGAGTGAGGTAGATAAATGTTTGAAAAAAAAAATCAAAAACTGTCCCCCTGTCATACTCAAAAACCCTTATCTCAGTATTTAAATTTATTATGGGGCATCTCTACAGTGATTTAAACTGATATCACAAAAATAAATAAAAAATCCTACATAGAATACCTTCTTAATTAACTTTTTTGTCTTTTTCATTTTTAAAAGGGAAAAATAACTATGGGACAGAGGCAAGAGAAGATAATGGGACCTAAACTACACAAGCAAAAAGCACTACAAACTTTTTAAAATCTCCAGTCAAAACTAGCAATCGGTATATTTTAATTCTTTGTTCTTACTCGAAAGATTTAACCATTTCCATCCCAGAACCACCTCTTCACTGCCATCGTTTGGTTGGATCAGTGCTGAACAAAGGCTTAGGTGCTGTAACTAACGTAAGATGAGCAACTGGTGCGACTCCTTGGTTGTAGGCTTCCTGACGGCCCCTCCTTCCCCTTCCACCAAGGCTGCTGCAACCGAACAAACAAGCTTCTCGTTTTCTTTTGTTCTGAGGTTTGGTCTATGATTTAAGCGACAAGCTGGTACTTGTGCAGGTTTCCATAGCTGCCAACATTTAACTGTTTGCTAGCCAAGCCGCTGGCCCCAGCTACATGCCTTCCACCCAGCCCCACGGTGGGTTTGGATGGGTTTGGTTGTTGTGGTGCGGTTGGTGGTTGTTGGGGTTTTTTGGTTTTGGTTTTTTTTTTGTTACCAGGGGTGCGAAGCGCAGCCCAGGGCGCCCTCCGCGAGGGCTTCCTCATCAGGAGGTGCAGAGCTGGGGTTCTGCTGGAGCCAGGTGGTCTGTGGCCACCCTAAGAACGCCGGGCACCACCAGTGGCAACTGGTACCACGGGGTGGAAGGTTTAAAATAGTTTTTTTGAAAAAAAAAAAAAATCCAACCAGTGATCCAAAAGCCTGGTGTCTGCTGTTGTACCCAACAAATAATAGTTAAAAAAAAAAATATGTGTGTGTGTCTGTGGGGGGGATGGGCGGGTGGATGTGTGCCACAACCAAAACAAGCAGGGAGGGAAGGAGGGGAAGGACCCTTGTACAACAATGAATACAAACACTGAACAAGAATGTACTAAATATTTAACCTTTTTTTTCTGACCTGAGTTTGTATCATGCCTTGCACTGTAAGAGACTCGCATGCTGTCTGGGCAGAGGTTGGTGGGAAGGAAGGAAAACCGGGGTTTGAAAACACCACACCACAGCACTGCTAGAGTGTTTCTGTGCGGGGTGTCCCTTCTTTCTCCATGTCCCCCTCAAAAGCCCTGTAGCCCACACAGCCAAGATGTTGGAAAACAACTAATGGAAAAAAAAAAAAAAAGAAAAAAAAAGAAAAAAAAGGAGGAAATGTATTTATAAAAAGGCATTAAACAGTTCATGGCAAATCATATGAAAGGTATCAGTTACTGGGAAGGAGGAAGTAGAAGTTACACACTATAGTACAAAGCATAAGAAAATTTGTTGAAGTGGGAGGGGAGGGAAGGAGGGCAGACCTGAAGGTTCTCATAGATTAAATCCACAAAGATAAAGAACAAAAAAAATAGCAGCTTTTTTCTGTACAGACATATAGATGAGTATCTGAACCGTAAAAAAGTTATAAAAGTGACACAAAAGACAATGTGTATGCAAATGATCCATGGTCTAACATAGAACTGCAAGACCCTTCGAGAAGTCTTAATAATAAAGAGAAAAGGTCAACAAAGCATCATATACTTGAATCCGGTTACTGCTTTTTTTTGTCTTCTCCAATTTATGTTTCTAGGTGTTTTTTTCCTTGCAAGCCTGTGAAGGAAGGCAGGCTGCAACGATGGAGATCTCTGCCGGTTATTTTCACGTTTTTCATGTCTCATTTTTGGCGTGCGGTTGATTTTTTTGTACGAAATGCACGTGTTTATTTAGCTCACCACTGCCAGTTTTGTCCAGAATTCATTGGGATGGGGACAGGGGTGGAGGGAGGGCTGTTTCTTTACCCCATCCCTTTTATCTTCTCCATCACAAGAAAAAAAAAATCATCACATTTTGTCCAGTTTTGAAAAAAGCTCTAGACAATTTGATTTTTTTTAATTTTTTTTTTTAAATACCAGTGTATGATTGAACAGAACGTATTGGTCAGGATCTCTTTTGAACAGAGCAGTTGATTACTGTGCTCCTTCCATGCCTACAAAAAACAAAACAAAAAAAAGAAAAAAAGAAAAAAACAAAACCCAAAGAGTTCTTTTTTTTTTTGGCAAAATTTGGCAGCGTTGAAAATGGTAACAACCTCGGACGAATGATGGCCCTTTTTTATTCTTTTACGTGTCCCTAAAAAGATTAAAGAGCAACATTAAAAATCCAGTCTTTTTTAGGTTTTTTTTTTGTGTGGTTTTTTGTTTGTTTGTTTGTTTTTTTGTTTGTTTGTTTGTTTTTTTTTAATAAAGACCTACAGTGTTAGGCAGGTGCTTGCAAGGGTACCGGGGAGCCACCTGGCCTGCGATATCTTTGATCTGATAAAAGTGCTGTACGGCTGAACTTGCACACAGATATGTTTCCCATTATGAAGCAAAGAGAGAGACAGAAAGAAAGAGAAAGAGGAGAGAGGAGAGAGAGAGAGAGAGAGACATCAGATCTCAAGTTTTCTGTTGCTATTAAGTGTTAACATTAGAGTTTTAAAAGGCCAACTGTGTGCCCCATGAATGGAGTCCTTTACTGAAACAAACATCTGCTTGCATATTGAAAAAAGAAAAATACGGTAACTTGTTTACTGAAAAAAGGGTTCTCCCAAGTGCAGCTATGGCAGTTCTGAAGATCCACTGAGGTACAGTAGGCTTTTGAATATATTGTAATTTCCTTTCTTTCTTCCCCCAATGCACGTGTTTTTCTGGGTTTCTTTTCTGTGAGATTCTGGTTCTAAGGATCAGCAGGCCGAAGACTGGGGCAACGGTAAGGCCCTCTCATTCTTGCGTCCCCCGTTCATGTGTGCGTACGGCTGTCTCTCCTCGAAGCTGGCCCGAAGGACCACCACGCCTGGGCCGTTCTCGGCTTTGTGTCCTGAGTGCTTGTCAGTGGGTTGGAGGGTGGAGGAGGGATCTAAAGGAATGCTCTCCATGTTTTCAGTCTCCAGGTCAAGCTCCTCTGTATCCGGAGGCTTGTTCTCTTCACTGTAGAAGAAGGAGACCTCTTTGAACGCTGGATCCAGCTCGTCTTTAATGCTGCCGATGATTTCCAGGAAGGAGGGCCTCATTTTCGGATTGTACTGCCAGCACATGCGCATCAATTCAAACCTGGACAGGGAACACACAGCAAAACCATTTACTAAGGTGTTTTACGAGCCCCGGCCGGAGCCCAACCAACCATGGCTGAATCGGACCACGCGTTTCAGAAAATCATTCAATTCTGATGGAAGATGAAGTGACAGGATTTTTATAGGCCGAGATCCCCCTGTCACATTGCGACCTTCTTTCTAATCACTGATTTACTCCGTAGGTCCTGTCTCAACCTTCTCCACTCCCTTCCACACACTTGCCCATAAAACAGCCTCGTGGATACCTGACATCCAGGAGCACTTCCTATTCTTTATTCCGACTTGGTATTTCTCTCTTTTTCCTCCAAAATGTCCTGTGCTTCCTCATTCATACAGCTACATGACAGAGCCTCTCGGAGTACCTCTTTCAAACAACCCTACCCTATCAACACTGCCTTGGAAAAAATTAAAACAGGAAATACACACAAAGTAGAGCATCGCTTTTTTCCCCTGAAAGGAGGAAATTACATTACAATTAATTGTAATCCCCAAAAGACATTTGCCAATATCTCAAAGACGTTCTCTAATCTTTTATTTTAGATTATGTTGTTTTCATTTACGGCCAGGGATGCATTAATACTTTACGGAGTGTGAGATCATCTGTTTGAGCACATCCATGATTAGATCTGTACGATGTCCCATGCTGGCAAAACAAAACCACAAAACGAAACAGCAACACATACATAATGAAAACAGCATTTGCATGACGCAGCAAAATTGGATATTCCTGAGAGATTGCCCTGAGCTTTAAACACAAAAAAGGATTTCACTGTCTGTGAAGATGGAAGAGGGATGTCTTCTGTTAACACAGCACAAGTAATAGGACAGATGTAAATAAGAAAAAGAAGAATTAACATTAATTCTTCAAGCCAATCCTCTGCATACACAGTACTCGGAGAAACACGCTGTGTGTAGGAAGTCACCACTGGCCAAGGCTACCACCTGCTGTGCTAGAATAACAATAGATCTAAAAAAAAACATTAAAAGAAAATAAAAGAAAAATCTTTCAGTTCAGGTAATGTACTGGAGAACCCTTCACATCTCTGACTGACCTTCCAGCACCAAGACCTGCTGTCCCAGTAACAGCCCCTCTCCTTGCTGGGCCACCAGCCCGGTTCAGCGGTCAGTCTGGGTTCGTTTCCGCACCTCTGCCAGCCTGCCCGTGTAAGGTTAGCCAGGTCACCTGAACTTCTGGGTTTGATTCGATAGACAATACCAGCTCCCCAACTTCCACAGATTCCCAGAAAGCAGGCAAGCAATTCTATTTTATGCTTTAATCAGCTCTCACTGCCTTCTGCCCCAGCAGCAGTTTACCAGATCTCTGCAGCAGTGTGTGGAATGATGGGTTTTTTAATTTTTTTTTTAAAAAAAAATAAAGACACAAAACCAAACAAAAATTCGCTCCTTTTTTAAATAGCACTTAAGTCCATCACTGAGTAACGTCTTAAGGTCTGCAGAGCCCCCGCTCTAGAACAGACCTTTCAACAGGACCATCACCGAGCTGGAAAACCCTGGACTCTGAAGCCCGTTGCTGTGCATCACCGCCCACAGCAGGGTCCGGAGAGTCTGGAAACCCTGGCCTGAAACAAAACCAAAGCACAGAAATCCCCTGCCCGAGAAACTCGCTCCTTGGGCAATCCTGCTGCGTTTCCTCACCGGGCGCACTGTGTTCTCCGGTGCTGTGAACCAGCAAAGAGACAGAAATTTCGCTGCTGTGTTTGGGCTGCAAACACTGCTGAGAGCGCTTCAACCAAACCAAAAAGCAATCTTCACTGAAGTGCATTTGAAGGCACAAATATTCCTGTTAGAGCTCAGCTGACCCAACTGTGCATGAACTGAAGTCAGCCACCTGAGCACGGCCTTGTGACACCCAAAGAGAAGCTGGCAAAACCAGTCTGTGCCGGGAGAACTCCCCAGGTACTCACTGCCGTATCGTACCAGGCACGCAGACACACAAACACTGCTCAACCATTGCTTCGTTTAGAGTCTTCAAAAAAAAGTCTTTCCTAGCAGAAGTGAGGCCAAACGATAACACTGCGCTGTACCCTCACCCACAAAGGAGGAGGAAAGCTCGAGACATAAATATATAAAATCCATTTCTGTTACTTCATTGCTGTTCCCTTTCCAGCTGACTGCTGCGTCCCTGAATAGAAGCGTTAGCTGGAGCCAAGAACACTGGATATTCGCTGGCGCTTTGCCCTGAGGCCTAAGGGCAATGCTAAGGAGATACCACAAGCCGTGGAGTAATGCATGTGACATCAGCACAAACAAGGACATGTGATGTTTCTTTTAAGCCATTCCAGATTTGAAAACCCTACAGAGTTCCCATAAAAGGATTATTTTTTTCTTTTTAACTCCGTGGGTTCAACGACCTTGTTTACATCACCTTAAACAAAAAAACCCCCTTCCCAGTAGACAATGGAAGAATTTACAGGCTGTTAATACAACCTGAGCAGTTTTATAAAGTATGTTCCTGACTGACGGCAAGTGAGCTCACGAAGCTGGAGGCATCGCCATGAGACAGAGGAACAGCCAGCCTGTGTCTCATGCATCTTTTGCTCAAAGAACCGTGCAGAAACAGTTACTTTTTGCAGAGACGGTAAAAAAAAAAAATCCCAGAAAATGGAAAGGTACTATAGAAGCTGCATGTGTGCTTTGCATCAGACTTGATTTGGTGGGGAAAACTGGAAGCCCCTCTCCTGTTCTGCTGTTGCTACATGCTGACACTGCCTCTGCACAGCAGACCCTGGTCTGTAACCAAGTGCTCGCCAGGAACAAAGGGAAAATCGGCAACGCGTAAATAGTCCAGTCATCTTCAATACATACGGGGGAAGCGATTTTGTTTCAAAACCAGACAGGAATTCCAGCCTCCACTACTTTTAAAAGCCCCACGGGAACACACTGCCCAAGAGCTTCAGCTGTAACAAACCTTCTCCCCACGCAGCCACCACCTGATGAACACTGGACATAACAATGGTAATACATAAAAACGTAACTTATTACACAGGAAGGGGAGAAAAACAGCAAAGCTTCTCCTGGCACCATCTTATTGAACCATCTGTCTTATTGCATAGCTCTGTCTGTAAAACCATGCAAACTATGCCAAGAGGGCGTAGCATAAACAGAGCTGAGTTTTGTTTCACCCTGTGTAAGAGTAAAAAGCCTCTAGAAATACCGTCCCCTTCATGCTCGGCCCTTTCGCAGGGATTTACCACCTCTCTGAACCACAAGACAACCGCGCCATAAAAACCCCCCTTTGCACAAGCAACTGATACAACCAAACTGCAGACCACCACCTCTCCTGTTCTTCAGGTGTCCTTGGTCTCTGATCCACCCAAAAGCTCCTGCCTCGCTGCTACCAGGGGTTAGCGAAGCACAGCCACTGACAAGTATTACGAGCATTGCAGCCTTAGGAGAGACGGGGCGTCCCGGACTGCCTGCATCACGTAGCATCCAGCCAGGCGGGGCAACAAGAGGCCCTTAGGAAAACTACAGCCCTGTGGGTGCAGCGTGCACGGCTGCGTCAACGCTCACATCATCTGCAAGGTTAAATCAGCACAGTCAGTGACAGTTGCAGCAAGATTCTTCTCCCTGTTCTCATCGACCCTTCCCCACAGCAGTCTGCCTCCTCCACCTGTTCTAGAGGTTTTTCTATGTCAATATACTCCCCTCTCTCTACAGAAAGGGAAATTTGTGTTCTGCCTGTAATTTGAGTTGTTTCCAAGTCAAACTGATTTAAAGAAAAAAGTATCTCTGCATTTGTAGCCTACCACATGAGACATAGAGAAGTTCAGTTCCTGGCTCCTCTACTCGCTTGCTTTCATGGGGTACCAAGCACAAATATATTGACTTCCCTGCAGCAGGTGGACTTCGCTTTCTGAACATCTTGTGTTAATATTAAAGTACCACAGACCAGTCAGTCTCCACCAGTAATTTGTGCTGTCTAAAAAATACCTTCCACTGACATGCCAAGAAACCCGTTTATAAACAGAACCTTTTAGAAACCTCCACAAAAAACAGGGCCCCCTATTTTACAAAGAGTTTCATGAAGTGCTTGAGAATGCAGTTGCCTCAAACACTCTGGGGTTGTCTGCCACGTCTGAAACATGTCTGGCAAGACCCACACGCAGTTTCAGGGCTCTCTGCAACTGTTATAAGCACCTTTCTGCCCGTTCAGTACTTTTCTTGGTTACCTCCTGCACTGGGAAGCCATTTATCAGACAGCTGGAGAAGAACTCTGCCTACAGACCAGGTCTCTCTGCCTGCCAGCAGCAGCACCTGTGAGGTTCAAGACTGGCAGCAGTTGTCAGGTTACTGAGTGTTGCACAGCATCTTTACAGCATCTTGGGCAAATGGGATGGAAGACGGGGAAAGAAATGAAAAGATGCAAAGAAAAAGCACCATAGTAACGCAAAATAGGTTCTCTGAGTGCCAAATGCATGTGCATGGGACAATGGTGAAGATTATTCCCGCAGTTTCCTACTGTCATTCCTTCAACAGCCTATTTGAATTTCAGCAGACCTGGGTGTCTGTCCTAACTCAAAGGTAAAACAAGCTGAAAGGGAGCTAAAGCAAGTCACAGTAAGTTTCTACGGTCAAAACATTCAATTTTCTTTTTTTGCAGCTTGGACAGAGTCAGGATGTTTTGTACACAACTACCACCAAAAAAAAAGAAGACACCACTAAACTGGATGTGCCTTAAGTTCAGAGTTCAGCCCTGTTCCTTGTTCTGATGGAGAGGAATGGCTAAATTCAAAGGAAATTTTTTTTCTATTCTGCACCTCTGCAACATCAGCCTAAAGCCCTGGCGGCCATAACTAACGTGTGAACATCATCTTCGTTGAAATCAGCACGTAAAGGCCCCTGCTGTCACAAACTGGTGCAAAGATTTGCTCTGCCAGACATTAACGGAACTCTCCCAGCTCACAAGCCAGCTACCCTGAAAGTGGATTCATCCACCAGCAACCCCCAGCAAGCAGAGGAGTATCTCTGAGGAGGAGGAAGGAGAACGGGCCGGGTGGGCTGCAGTAAAGAGAGCTTCTTGCTGTGACTGCCCTCCCGTCCCCCTGTTAATGGGGAATTCCTGATGCTGAATCTCTTGCTGAGTTTGTTCTCACTGTAAAGGTATTTTTTTCCTATGGACTCGGGGAGCTGATCCCTTCACACGCCCTGTTCTTCCCCCATTCCTGCCTGCTTCCCCCCTCCATTACACAGCTCCCACCGTGTTAAACAATCCCCAGTCAATCTGACTGCCAGAAATTCTCCACAGCATCGTGGAAGGGAAAGAATGTGAAACTGAGGAATCACATGGCAGCTACACCTCCCCCTGCATATACCACCCACCCCCCTCAAACAACAAAACAACACTGCCTGTCATCTGAAACCAAAGCCAGCGCTCCAGCCAAAAAAGCTCTTTTCCTAAGAATCCCAAGCAGCTGAGGCCCTTAAGTGATTGTATCCCTTCTGTGGGCCTCCAACAAATTTCAATAACTGCAAGACGCAGTATTTCCTTCCCAAAAGCCAGTTTGGGAAGTATATCAAAGTAATAAAGTCTGAACAACTGAAACTGCTGTACACAAAAGCCAGCAGAAGTATTTCAACAATGTAAAGCTAAAAACTGAAGCCTGCTGCATTGCACACCCTCCTCTGCTGCAAGGCTTTGTATCGATTCTAGGGGCAGGCAAAGGTTTTCCTGCGCGCTTCTGTCTGTGCTTACAGGAGAGGGAACTGTTAGCAGGGGGGATTTGTTTATCTCCATGTGATGAGCGCTGTGACTGAAATAGCAGCTCCAACACTGCTTCAGACAAAGGAACGACACATTCATTTATCTGTATGCTAAACTGAGAAGCTGAATTCCACAGAGTTTATGCACAATACATTTCAGCTCGTCCTGTGCTCTTTTTTTCTCTTCACGCTCAGCAGAATTACTTTAAGCAGAAGAGACAAGATTTCGGCACAAAGTCTTCCGCTGTAGCAAATGGCACTTAGGAACTTTTATTAAATCTAATTTTATTCAGGAACACAAAGATTGGGTTTTGATTCCTTATTAAAGGAGATAGCCCAAAGTGAGATTCTGGCCACAAGCAAAGTTGTTTTTTGAGATGTTTAACTACTATAAAATAACTGGATTGACAGAGACTGTCCAAGCAGCACCTCACATTACTATCACTCTTTAATAACCTCTCTCGCCGTGGATAGGGCAGAAGCGGACACTGAAGGGATCAGGAAAAACAAAAGCATGCACCGAGAACAGCAGTAACTGTCGACACTTACAGCATATCAGGACAATTGTCTGGTTTTTCCAGCAGACCTCCTTCCATCACGAAGCGGAGCACTTGCTCATTGGTCATGCCTTGGTATGGCTGCTCCGCTAACGTTGCGATCTCCCAAAGTACAACACCGAAAGACCTGGAAAACAAATTAGAACTTTAGAAAGCCAAGCAATATTTACCAGGATATTTTTCTTAGATAATGCAGTGCAGGCAGGTGTCCATGGGTATTTCCTTTTACCAAAACATTCCTATTGCTCAAAAAGTACACAGCTACAGTGACAGCCACATCACCTAGCGTAAGAGATTGTTGACTTCCAACACCTCTAGTCAACGGTGAGAAACAGCCTCCCAGTTCTGAATGACTCTTCAGAACAACCTCTGTAAGAAAAGGCTGGTAATATTACATCTCCATTTTTCACACCATGATCTACAGCTCGGAGCTGGTCATGACTGTGATCATTCAGTGGTCCAACATTACTTGATTACACCAGTGCAGGTCAATCAGTAAAGAAGCCACCAGAAGCTCACTGCATTGACCAGAAGCATCCTAACAGAGTAGATTTAACCTGTGAGGTTGCCTGGAGAATCAACTTGCACGTCACCTCCCTTTCCTATGGCTTTGATTTCAGACTAGGCACACTGCAAGGTGCGAAGAACAGTGGAGAGGAGAACAGAAAAGATGAAGGTAAGGAAAAGAAAAAAATTTAAATATCTGTTCCTATCTCTGTGCTTCCTGTAGAGAGGACCTCAGGCTGGATAGACACCCGATCATTAAAGTCTGAAAAAAGATCCCTGCGTGGCTGGGCGCAGGGAATCAAACCTTTAAGCACTTGGAGAAGTTGCAGAGACTGGTTATTTAAAGTGAGCTTGACAAGCCCCCCTTGCCCACAAAGATAGCAAGAAAAAAATCTGTACACTTGAGGAAACTAAACTCAAAATCTTCATGTAACATCTCTCAGGTACTCCTGACAGCAGCTGAGCAGGCAGTAACGCAGAACTGTAAGCTCTCATTCCAGCGCAAGCTGCTTTTCATCAGAAATACCTGAGTCACACAAATCCGATTTAAAAGCCGCATTTTTCCCTTACTGCTCTAGCAAGCTGAGAGCTAGACAGCGAATACACACCACCACACCTGTGCATCGCATCTGCCTTACCACTAAAAGCAAGCAAACAAACCAATCTCTATTCCCCAGGCACAAAAACACTTCTTGGGTAATATCCTGCTTTGGTTTCTTCCACATTCTAAGTCAAAGGTGCAAAGTAAGGATCCAGCCAGTCAACATACAGCAGCAAGCAAAACCAGTTTTTGAAGAAGACGTGGAAGAAATGCAACTGTTCTCCAGCTTCTTGTACCAAGACTTCGGCAGCAGAACATTTAAGCCCCCAGGAGAAACTCAGTTTCCCCTTTTGCAACAGGTATCTAACTATGTTCTCGAAAGAGAGCTTCTAGCTCCTTCCAACTACCTACAAAGGACAAGAGAAGTGGCAACAGGAGTCTGTCTAATAACAGGCACTGACTCCTGGCGAAGAAAGACAACCATAGTTATGTAATTGGGTAGTTCGGACGTAAGTATTGACACTTGCTAAAAATATCTCCATTTAAAACTAGTTTATTGAGCAGACATGGCTCAAATTGTCTGCCCTGCGCCGAAGAGTCATCTACTTTTAGAGCTGTTGTGCAAAGAAGGAAAATCTAGATGCTGTCTTGTCTTCTGCGGCTAAAGTGCTGAGTCAAGCCCAGAGAAAAAAAAGGGTAGTTTCAATAGGGTATTGTTGTGAAAACAGGAGTCCAGTATTATTAGCTGGTTATGGTAGAGTGGTTTTATCTTTCAGTTATCCACTGTATCTAAAATGGTTTGCATCTGGAGCCAGAAGCCACAAACAGACTGGCAATTGTTTGCCTTTCAGGGGAGGCAGGGACAGAGGGTCAACTCAACATTTTGGTGCCTTTGAAGCTACTTTGATCGCTGCAGGAATAATAAGAACAAGTCTTGCACACCTACTAGTCATATTATCATAACAAATAAACTCGTGTTGCTCCTTCAAGGCAACTATCAGCTCTGAAAGAATACAAGATGCACAAGACTTATTTATAGAAACACACCCTCACCCTGAACAGTATTACGTTAATTTTAAAACATTCCCCTGCCCTAACTACAACAAAAACAGTCCTGTCTAATTACCTCATTCTTCAGTCTGAAAAGCAATAAAAGACTGAATTGCTAAAATAAAGCTCCACCCTTCAAAACCTCCAGACACTCTTTCTGCAGTTTGCCATTTCACCTTACAGCTTATAAATCTGGGTCTCTGACCACTCACACAGTTTTGTCTTTTTGACATTTTGGCTTCTAAAACTTATCACGAAGAACATGGAACCAGATGTCACAATATCCTACCAAAAAGGCAGGAAAAACAATCTCAACATTTTTTTACTGTTTGATGAAAATAAATGGCCCCTGAAACAGCCAAGCTACACGGCAACTTCGAAATCTGAACCAATACAAGGAGTCAGGTAATTTCTCCTGGCACGAAGAGACCTTCGATGTACAGTGTTTGGTCTAAACGTTATGGAGAAGTAAACCAGGATGATCCTTTTGGCCATAAGCAGATCAAGTAAATAGACACTTTTTCATGACAGTGCTAAGTCAAGCTTCACTACATTTGGAATTTGGACTGAAATTTCTGAATCTATAGCTGTGGATACAAGCGGCAAACGCAAATGTACACGTGTTCTAAACAAACAGCATTTTCCTCCTGTTGAACCAGGGTTTTTGTACCTCCAGATAGCATACCTATGTGAACCCAATTTCAGAGTAAGTCACCTCTAACAACAGACAGACCTTCCCCAGGAGGAACCGCCTGAAATACTGATGAGAGCTGTGCACCTCCTCTCCATAAAGCAATTTTTCCTCTCTATGCTTTCAAGTAAAAACCTGTCAGATTTGTCCTCTTAAGTTTCCCAGCCTTATAATCAGTAAGCTACTTTCCTTGATGTGACTTCTGGCTAGGATATCTCTGATAAACTGCAATACTGTTTGCCCAACCCTGCTTTGGACTGAACGACCGAGGAATGCCAAATCTTGTTAACGCTGAAGGGAGAACTCACGTACTCCTGCAACAACTGAAGCGCGCATTTACTTCCGACACTTGATTTCGCATCACACCTGTGGGGGTGGTTTTCGTTTGGCATTTGAGCTACGTTAAAACAACGACGTCACTGAGCAGTTACGGGCAAAAAGGGAAGCGCGCATGGAACGCGCGCAGTACGTCACCGAAGGCGGACGCCTGATCCGCTGCAGCCCCCTTTTGATACAACGGCTGGAGATGACGGCTGGACTTCAAAAGTTACTGCTGTGCGGTAAGAACAGGCAGGTCTGCCAGCTCTTCGCTCCAGGCTCGTTCAGTTCTACAGCTGAGGATTTTCTAGCGATATATTCCAAATTTCTGTCTGCTTTGGGAAGCCATTACAAGTCCCAAACTTCTTTTACTGCAGCGGGACTGCCAAAAGCATGCCTGTGCTGTTCCGTTAGATAAAAGGCTGAGACAGGGCTTCCCCTCCAACTCAGAGTGGTTATTTTCACGTAATTCCAAGTTTGAGGGTTACTGTGTTTGTAAGTTACTCGCCATATGCAAAAAAATTTAAGTAACATTCTGGTGCTTTTTCACTTGCTACATAATTCCTCTTGTGAACCTCTCACTCAAAGCTGGTGCTGTGGACTAGAGTCCACTGACTCCAAAATCCTCAAGCTGTTTAAAGAAAATGCAGTTTACTACTAAAATACCATTCCTACTGACTTCTAGACATTTGGAGGCAATCAGCTGCCAATTCTGTAACAGATCAGCAGTAAAAACATCTTGTTAGGAAGGCAGAGAAACCATAAAAGACAGAGTAGAGGTTTTGCCAGTACATGTTTGTCTTCTGCCAAGTCCTCCCTACCTATCTGCAAAAGTTTGGGGGGGGG